GGGTGAACATCAGTGCGTGTACCGTTCTGAGTAGGACATAGGGATCGGCAGATATGTGACTTCAGGGGTTTGGGCAGGTAATGTTCCTTCAATCCACTGGTGGAATGGTTTGCTTATTATTAGTACCACCAGCGTGTACGCTGGCGGTACTCATGGTTTTAGTCCCGACCCGTCTCGTACAGCTCCGCCGGCTCCTGCGGCTCCGCCGGCTCCTGCGGCTCCTGCGGCTCCGCAGGATGACGTGGGATACAAGTCACCGTTACCGCTTCTCCTCCTAGACCGCAAGGACCTGTGTCCCCATCTCTTGGATTTTGGTCACATATAATCTCAACTTGAACCCCCTGGTCTTTTTGTCTCAGTCGGTGCATTGNTCTTCTATTTCTGTCTCTGGTAAATAATCTAGTTCAGTCAGTAAATAATGTTATTGATTAAAAGAAATAAAGATTGATGAAATTTTTAAGTTTAGATAAATTTCTTGAATATTAACCTGATTTTACATTAACTTCAAAAATATGCAATGTACCTTTAAGGTTTAGAAGTCAAACTTATCATAATGCAGTTATGACTGGAGTCAAAGAATGCAAGTATAGTGTTGATATGAATTAAATTGGGACACATTCAGAAAACTTTACATCAAAATGTAAAAATAGATATATGCTTAGTCTATGTTCAAAATAGTATCTTACAACAATGATGTTTATGCCTAACATCCGTAAATATTTTCATGTGTGGCTCCTCCTGTCTGATGCATTACTCATGTTTTTTTTTTTTTTTACGTGTCCTGAGAGTTTAAGAGACAGGTCATTCATTGTCTTGGTTAACACCAACCTATTTTGGTTAATGAAGACACCCTAATGAATAGAAATGGTCCATTTGTTAATCTCCTATATTGTGGTTATGGTTGCCTCATAACCTAATCAAGTCATGCTTATGATTCATCTTTTCTGGCCTGAAAGAATAATGTTATTCACAATCACATCAGTTTTTTTTTTTACCAAAAAGACAAAATAATGTCTACAGAAGAGGATTTAGTAGTCCACTGCCTTGTGAATTTTTTTTTCTTTTGAGATGTTAGTTCTAGTAAGAATGAAAGGTTTTTCTAAGTGTTCACTGAGATCATTGATAGTAAACCAGTAGCTAAGATGGGACAAACTATATCAAATTGTTTCTCCTGTAACTGTTTGTGTGGATATCAGAAAGTCTATCACATCAGGGAGGAAATTTGTTGTAAGGTAGGATAGAAGATGCTATGTATATTGATTTGATCTTTACCTTTAATGTATAGCAGATTAAATGTTTCTTAGCTGATTTTAACACTTGCTTAGTGCCCCCTAGAGAGAAGAGACAGCTGAAAATAATCCTTATAAACTTGTCTTAAATTTAACTGGGTAATCACTTGGTTGATTACATGTGTTCCTGGGTGCCTTTGAAGGTGTTAATCCATGCTGTGGTTCTTAATGAACCAGTTAATTCCATTACAACTCCTTGGTCCGGGGTCAGGTTTAAAACACTGTCAGCTTTGACTCCAGTCAGATGTGGAGATAATTGTGCAGAGGCAAGATCTTTGTAAAGAAGAGGAGTTTACAGGAGTATTCTGAAGTAATCAAATTGGATGTAGTTTTTATAAGATTCTACTTTTGTGATTGTTTTAAAACATTTAATTGCATGTATAAATGTTCATTCCAATGATAAGTCGAATGATGAGTTAAAAAAGATTATAATATAATAATAACAGAATTGCCCGTTATTAATCATTGATGTTAATTACCGTTCACCTTTTAAGGTATAGATGTGCGTGGTTTACAGCTTCATGTTTTGAATATTAATATGCATGTTGTGTTATACAGGATGTATATATGTTCATTTCCTGACAGGTGATCAAGGGTCTCTGCATATCATGGTACACTTACTGACATATGATTTTCCCAAAGCTCTCAGGGTGTTGCTGGGGCCAATCTCAGGCTTGATCCGAGTTAGGTTTCTGATTTGTTAGGTCAGCAGCCATTAAGTCTCTGTCACATTTACCTGACAATAGAACCGGAATGTAGTAAACAATGCCAGAATGGGAGCACCAGCCTCCACTGTTATGTAACCAGGTACTTCACTAACCTAAGCTCAGGTTAGTTACATTCTCTCACTGTACTTGCTGGACACTAGTCATACTGAACTCTTAATACTGATCTTACTGGTCAAATTATTGATGCTATGGTTTTATGTATTCTGATGGATTTCATACCAAGGTAGGTGTAAAATAATAAATATATATATGTGGATTTGCTGGAAAGATTCATGTATTGGAGTAAGTTACATATGGTGATGATGATGTACTTAATCCTGCTAGGATAGGAGATAGGAACATACTATACAGTAGCTATAAACAGTCTGTCTGTAGTTGAGTCTGCTGTATTCTGACCCTGGTGAACATGACCTTCTTAGTTTATCCTTTTTTAAATGTTCACAGACCTTTATTTTTGAGGTCTGGTCTCATCTTTCTGAAGAGACTTTCATTATTTAGGTGCATGTACAGTGATCATTCCTTACATTTTGAAGGATGGAGAGGTATGTGATGTGATTTCTCTACCTCCAATTCTCTCTAATTCTATCTAACTTCACAGTAGAATCAGATCAAACCAGTATTGTATGAAATCTGAACAATTTGTTTTAGCTTGCCCAATTTTTCTTAGGTTCTGTTATCTCAGGTGTGTCATGTATGGAGAGATTCTTCCAGAGCTAATATCACAGGACCAGGTGAGCAGAATAGTCAATACAATGGTTGTGGTCTCATTTGTTGTCCAATTCTTTGGTATTGTTGAACAGTTATATACATTCAGCTGGGTCTCTGACCATACAGAGGAGGAGATATTTGAACAAGAAACTGATGAAAAGAAAAGATCACGTTTGACCCTCTGGGGTCAGTATCAGACATTGTTCTAGTTTTCCTCAATTTGCAAAGGAGAGTGAAATTAAAATTGTGTTGATGTTCTTGTCTGTGCTCTGGTACTTGTATTGTGGCTGAGTTTTTACATGGCACTTTGTCCTCATAAGTCCACATCACATGTGGCAAACTTCCTACTGCCCTATGGACTGTGATATTTTACCAGCTAAGTGCTTTCTCTGACTTATTGAAAGTTTTATTGGTCAAAATTTCTGTGCACATATTTGCCCCAGCCCCAAGCCAATCTGATCTACAATCTCAACACAACTCTAGCTGCTGCAGGTGAGCTCTTTTGCAACTGAGAAACAAGGAAATAGCTGCCTTATAACTCGGTCAGAAGTTTATTCTTTTTTTTCTCTGGGGCAAGTTACTCTGAAGAAACAAAATTAGGTGCGAAAAAAAAATTTAGAGATAATATTACACCTAAGTGGGCTTCAATTCTTGTTGAAGTGTAATACAATGAGAGGTCCCTTCAACAGCAGTATTACTTGGGATGACCTTAGGAAGGCACTGAGGGGTTCACATGCAAGGGTCATCACTATTGTATGTGGAGGTTGAGTTTAAGTGGAGTCGTAAACCATTTATCAAGTCATCAATATCATTGCAATTGTATTGCCTATAGTTTTTTTTATTGTCACAAAAGTTGAGTTGAGGACATCATAGGAACAGAATCAAAGAAAATTCTTGAATTGATTGTTATAACATTTTTTTTATAATGATTGGTTGCAAGGTTATTTCTAAGTAGAAGCTTTGCTCATTTATCATTTGAGCAATTTTGGTTAGTTTGAATTTCAAACAACATTCTTTGCCCCAGATATTTGGCAGATTTAGAGAGTTAAGTTTTTCAAAAAAAGTATTTGGATGTCCTTTGTGCTAATGTCGAGGTACCATGAGAAGACTCAGGTTTCAAGAACTTGAGTTATATTACATGTTGTTTAAGTATAACTTCAAAACCTAAAAATACCTACTTGCTCATTTTGCTGTCACTGGAAGTAGAAAGAAGACCCTTTTCATAAGGATGTCAAGGAATTCATTGTTTTAAGCAAGTATACTTTATTTTGTATCCTAGTTTTAATTATGGTAGAGTGACTAAGGTAAGCTTATAAAGATCGAGATGTATTCTAATGCCTCTACAAGAAATAACAGGATTGGCAATTTATTGTTATTTAAGACATGCAAGTTTAGGGGTTTAGATTTTATTTTCAATTGAGTTAAATCTGATAAAAATTAGACTAATGCTGTTCAAGGTGAAATGTTTTATCATATGATCATCTTCCTTAATTTGCTGCTGGCCATCAAAGACCACAGCTTGGACAGGTGGCTAACATTGGGCATTTAACTATAAGTTGGTGTCTCATGGTGGTTTCTCTGAGCAGATATTTTGTTATCAAGATCATTTTTATTGGCAAGTAACACAAGGTTGCCTATCAGAAAATATATTCTAGCAAGAAGACCTGTCCATCTCTTTCTCTGATACGGTAGCTCTCTTGTAAAAGTTATAAAGGCACATCTCACCTTTTTTTATCCAATGCATGACATATATTACCTTTTAAACAGTTCTTAATAATTGGACTGGTATAAGAGCTCCAACAACAGCAACACTAAGAGGATATGGCCAAGTAATGTTGTTACTCATGACCAGAACAATTGTCAGAGTTAAAACAAAGCTCTTATGTGACTATAAGATTTTATAAATGCTTCAGGATTTCACCCTGTCATAACCCATACAAAGTGCAGGTAGATATTTGTTTCATGTGGGGAGTAGGGGGCATGATGTGGTTGACCAAATAGGAAAGACACATGTATATTATTATACTCAATACAACCTATCTATTGTTTCATTGCTCTAATTGCATTATATATGAGATCTCTGGTGGTGCTCCATTTATATATTAAAATTAGGGGGGTAAAAAAGGTGTTGAAAACAAACAACCCGTTAACTTCAAAGAAAAGAGATAAGGAATTGATGCATGCAACACCTATCCACTTTAGATGCCAAACAACAGTATATTCATTATGGGATGAAAAATGTCAATTTCCAAAGAAATTTGTTTTGTAATTCTAGGTGCAGCGCATACCAGAATATGAACGCTACCTGAATGAATTGCTGGCTGAAATTGATGAGTCCCATCCTGACTTTGAGGACTTGATGAAGGCATCAGCTAGATTACAAAATGTAAGTAAAATATTTTGTTCTTTTGTAGTTATGTAATGTAGTGTGGATGTCATAAGATAGAGGAAGGCAATACCTCTGATTACTAGAATGAAATGTAGAATGGTAACAATGAAGGAGAAGAAAGCCTCTTTCCTCCTAGCAATTATTTATAAATATTTGAGTGACAGCAACTATGTATAGAAGAAAATTTCAAACACTGTTAACTCAGGAAATTTTAATTGGGATTCAGGATATGGATGATAAGGTAGTCGAAAATAAAAGGCAACACACTTTATTTCAGTTGTTGAAAATAAGAGTAGGGAAAAATCTAAAAAATGAAGCTTAATAAATCATTTGAAGTATTTAACACCCCAATCTATGAATGACCAGTGACGTGTAGAAGTTATTAACACAAGCATTTTGAGTTCTGTTAAAGATTTGTTGCCAACAGAAAGAAACCGAGCATAGTTCTTGGTTGGACCAGGGAGACTAGTGCCCCTCCCATTTATGTGATAATTTATCACTATTATGAAGTGTAGCCCCTCACAACCAGAGTTTTGCTGAAGAACGATATAGTTCTTTTAGATTAACTGTGATGGTATTTGTTCACCACATAGGACCTCATTATCAAATAGTTACAATGATTTACTGATGTGAAGATTTATGAATTTAAGTTACTAAGGAGTTGAGATACAGAATGAAGAAAAATGTGATAACTTATTCTCCTTGTTTTAGTGGTTGACAGTTTTAAAGTTGAGATTTATATGATTGCAGCCTTTCTTTCAGATTGATCTTCAGTTGTTTGATAAAGGCTGCTTATAATGTGTTTAATGTTTTGTATACAGTATTTGTCAGTTTTTCTACATGTTTCTGAACAGTTCTTTGCCAATTAGCAGGAAAGAATGATTTCTGTCAATTAGCATAAAAGAATGATTTCCGCCAATTGGAGAAAAGAATGACTTTTACCAATCAGACTTTTATTTTTAAATATTTTCCTTACTTAAACAAGTAGTCATGATCACAGTATTAATAGTTTACATTGCATGTATCAGTAGATGATAGATACTGGGTGGGTCTTTTCATAAAATCCATTGTGTGTCATAGGGTAGATAACAATGTATGGCTCTTACTGGTATGTCCAACTTTCCTTTTAGAGTTGTTGTACAAGTCTGATAATAATGGGCATACTATTTTTTAGTATGCAGAGGCACGTTTGTCCTAGGGTTTAGTTAGCCTAAGTGGCTAATCATTGATCTTAACTAGGCCTGATGGACTTCAAATGCTGTCAACTTGGGGTCACTGTCAGCGGGCCAGCTTCAGGCTTCATTGCTGGGATCAAACAAATGCAAAGTTATTTACCAAAGTGTATTGTCAGAAATTTCTGGAAACAAAATCTATTCAGTCAGTAAAAAGATGCAAATTCTCTACATGCCCCCTCGTGATGTTATAAGTTGTAGTGAACTTATTACTTATTTTAAGTTTGTTTTTTAATGGAAGAGGTATTTCTCACCAGTGCATGACACAAGCAATTAAATGTGTAGTAACCCATCAGTTTTCAGTTTGATGAAATGCACTTGAAAGGCAAGGATGACATGCTGGAGCTCATCTTTATTCATGGGTGCCATGGGTCACTTCCTACCTTGTTTGCAGGCAGTAAAGGGACTCACACACAAATCAGTCTTCACACTGCTGGAAAAGGACCAGTTCAGGGCATGCGCCAGTCATACAGTGATTGGAATACTTTGAATGAATATTTCAGTGAGAGATGGGTGGATTGCTATTTCAGTGACATGAAAAGTGCAACAGTGTTCAACTTATTTGATCAGTTTTGGAAGCACTAATCATGGGAAGATGGTTGTATTCCTTTAAGAAGGAACTCTTAGGGACTGACTTCAAACATTGATGACACTTGATTGACTGGACTGTCACACAGCATGTTGGAATACTTGAGTAATTAAATGATCTATAGTGGTTCAGTCCAGTTTCCTGCTGTTGTAATTTGTGATAGTGGGGATTTGTCAGGAGGAAGTTACTTTGAGGAAAAGTTACTGTCAGAGGTACCACACTGTATCATTGTCTCCTTAAAAATTGGAATTCAAATGATTGATCTAGGATAAGAAACCAAGCAGATCCTCACAGTAATGAAAGGAAATTTCAATGCCTGTGATAGACCAGGCATTAATTTGAGATACATCGGGGCAAAATCATTTTTCATTGCCAGGTATGAATCTGAAGTTTGTGGTCAGCTAAGTTTAAACTGGCTTGAAAATTACCTTAGGTGAAATTTTCTTGGTTGTGAACTTGTCATCTCATTGGTTCAAAACAATAGCTGAAGAAATTGAATGTCTCATAATGCCCTGATGGTCATTCTTTTGAGGTCACTTGTCGAAGTTGTTTTGACAATAATGGAAACTGAACTGAAGTCAGGAACTCAACTACAGTTTTTGGCATGTGCCATTGTCACATTACCATCATTCAAAAAGTACTGTCCACAAATTATAATATTTATTCCTCTTCAAAATTAGTATAAAATGAGGTGAAAAGATACATTTTTTGCTATGTTTAATAATTACGTCATGGACATGGTGGCGATAGGGAGTCACCTAGACGACCCGTTATGAGCATGTCGATCGCGAACCGCGTGTAGGTATGTATGAAGCACGGTTGGAAATGACGTAATTATTAAAGGTGGCTGGATTATAATATATATCTAAGACTTAAAAATGTAGTGTTGTTGAAAACTACCATTTGAACAAAGTTGTGGTATTCATAATGATAAGGTATGTAGTAAACATGGGTGGTCAGGATATATTATTCAGATACACATTTTAAATTATGGTAAATCTTAGAAGATTTCTTATATATGCTGTCACAAACAATGTTGGCATGGTTGCAATAATTTAGACAAGATGGCTTGTTGATAATCTAAAATATTTAAGAGTCATCTATCTAATACCTGCTGAAAGCTGGTTGGTAGTAATGATAGGAAAATATTTTCAACACTGACTGAAGACTTTTGGTATTAAAAATACCGCAGATTATTGTAGTGGGGGTGTATATTATATAATAAGTGATTCACTTTTGTATTGGTCACCCATAGTTAACTTCAACCTCATGGTATTTGGACAGTGGTCAGTGTCTGTCCACTCCTCTCAATGTAACCCTGAGGCAGATAGGTAGCTTGCAAACAGGGGGGATTGGCACAACAATAGACAGGTAGCTGACACATGTACACAAACTGATCACTTCAACACATTGACAGTCAATGTTATTGTGACTTCTTGATGGATTATTCTGTTACATTTCACCCTACTGTTATTTATCTAGGGAGAGTTTTACCTGAGGGGGATAGTTAGTCTTGTCAGGTTGTGGTGAAGTCCCAAGAGCTGGCTTTAAACATAAGATTTTAACTGTATGTATTTTCTTTAGAGATAGACAGGTGCATGTATATGCTGTTTATGAAGAGCTGGCTGTCCTTGTTGTAATATTAACAGTAACCTTTTACCAATATGAGCTAATGTTGCATGGAAAGTTTGAGCCTTCTTACTACAAAATAGTACATTGCGGAGATACCACAGTGGATTAACTCTTTAAATTTTGATGTTGAATTATTTTAAAATTTTTTTACAGATGGTGAAGGAGCGAGGTGAGGACCTGACAATGCTGGAAAAAGAATGCCAGGCTGAACGGGTACAGGAGCTTTTTCCTCACGATGATCTCCAGATCTGTGAGCATGAGAAGCAAAATGTATGTAGCTCTGAAATTAATTTTTTCATCTTCACAGAGAATTTTTTTGAGGAAGTCTTTCTTTTGTATAATTTCAACTTATTTATAAACATGCAGTCCAAAATTTATTGCCTTGCCATACACCATTTACATGGTAAATTCTTGGCTTAAGCCAAGGTGTCAACTAGGCATTGTGAAAAATTTTGATCCTATTTTTAGTAAACTTAAATTGACACTTGCTGTCCATAGACATTGTGATAAGGTCATTCTGTGTATAATTTGATGATTGCTAGAATCACAAGTTCCATTATCCTGACAATGAGGCAATTCTATTTTGTTGATAATTCAAAGGGAAGTACTAGCTTGCTTTATTTAATTCCAAGAACGAGTTAAAATTCTTTAAAAAAGTAAACATAATTCAGGTTGAAATTTCTCAGATGAACTTGTGCTACATTTTGTAACATAAAAATGAAGTAATATGTTACAAAATTAGAAAATGATATTGACAGTGATATATTTTGTTGTTATGCAGTGAAATATGCCATGTGATTTTAATGTGAATAGGATACCATAAACCTTCTGAAAACAAGATTTTGAAATGTGAATACTCATTTTTATGACACTGCAATGGTGAATAAAAAAAGTTAAGCAAGCACAAAAACATTTGCCCATTAAAAAAAGTTTTCCTTCATTTCTCTCAATTAAAAAAAATTGATGATTACACTGATAATACTGATTCTCTTTTATTCAGAAACTTCAGCAGCGGCTACTGTCAAGGCGGAAGTCTGCTCCCAGTGCAGTGTTGCTTAAGACGCTAGGTGGAGGGCGATCTAAAAGCATTGCTGGCACAGGGTATGTTCAGTACAAAACTTTTGAGATCTATAAAGCTCCAACTTTTTGGATGTAGTTAAGAAACAGTTGGTTAATTTGGTAACTCTGTTTAGAAATCAGTAGCAGGTTCAATATGGTGATGTTTTATCCATAATCATGCAGCAATCTAAATGAGAAAATGTTTAATGGACAAGTGATTTTACTTTTGAATTGAGAAATAATATTTATTGTTCAATTTTTGCCAGTGTAACATGAAAATCTGACTCCCGTAGTAGAAATTTCATATTGAAAAAATGATTTCCCCCATGAAATCTTGACTTCTAACACTTACCCTAACCCTAAACCTAACCAAAATATCAAATAAATAGCTTTTTCATAGGGGAGTCATTGGGTGATAAAATAGACATTTTTAATTTGCTTCTTTTCTCATGAAAATTTTCACCTTCAAACTAACAAAAAGTGCCAATGTAGCCTCCATTATGCATACTACAAGATATAAGTCATATGCTCAAATGAAATAAGATTTATGAAGTTTTGTGGGGGGAGGCAAAATTTCATGGGGGAGGAGTCAGATTTTCATTATGAAATTTTGTTTTACTTGCTATAAGAACATAATGTGGCTGCAGCTTTTTTGGTCAGGTTTGGTCGCATGTCCTCAATCAACCTTGGGTTGAGGATATCTCTGCACAGGTCACTTCAGTATCTTCCCCTTCAAGCCAACATTTCCATGTCACAAACACTTTTGTCATTACTCCAACCTCCTATGTGTCCATGCACAAAGCATTGCTGCCATATTTTTTGTTCCTGGAACTTTTCATGGATCACAACCTGATATTATTTCTTTATAGTCACAAAATTATACCTGTCATTATACCTCTGTTGCTATAGAAAATTTATGATTTTTGTGTCTTGCAAATTGTCATTGCCCAAAAATTGTAAGGGATGCTAATTTGCAGTTTTTTCTTCTTTTTTTAATCACAGAACCAACCTAGCATCCTTTATGCAGGAGCACAGCAGCGTGCGGGTTAGTCCCAATGTAAACAGCAATGTGAACAGATTGTATATTATGGAGGGATCTGTGCAATTGACAGCAGTAAGTAGCAAATGAAAGAACAATTAAATGAAATTTAAGAAATGCTATGATAAAATATGGTTCTTCCACGTCAAAGTTTTAACAATTTATTCATAAGATGAATTCTTTTTTACAAATATTGTCATTTGTGCATGCCTGAAAAAAGAAACTAAATGGAAAAAAATTGGGATTATTTTTGGCCTGTCAGTAAATTAAGTGTGACAGTCAACAGTAGGATGCAGGTTTTTTCTCACTGTGGTTTAAAAAAAGAAAACATAATGAAAGAAGGTGACAAACAAGCAAAAAGTTGGGAACGCAGTTTCCTGATGAGATGTGTTGATTTTGTCACAAGAAAATTGCTTTAAGCAGTTTATCCAGTAAGTTAGACAGTCACACTAAACCTGCAGAATGTCTAGACATGTATATTGTTTAAGGTAACCTAACATTAAAAAACTGCCATAAATCTGCCAGTAGTGTTTGCCAACTCCTAAGCATGCATATTTGATGCTGATGATGACAATTATGACAATACATTAAGCACAAGTACTGTAAAAGATAAACAGGCATATTACTAACACGATAGGCAGTGGAAAATGTGTGTGTGTGTGTGTGTTTGTGTGTGTGTGTGTGTGTGTGTGTGTGTGTGTGTGTGTGTGTGTGTGTGTGTGTGTGTGTGTGTGTGTGTTACATACAGAGGGAGATTTTAAGTAAACATGATAGCAATGTTACAAATATGGAAACAACTGTTATCACAAGAGAAATATGATGTACCAAATGGGTAAAAAAAATGTCCTGAGTTAGTGCGAGTGCAAATAAGTGACTTTATGTTAGGCCAGGGGACAGTGCTGTCTACAATGTTCAAGGTATGTTTATCTCTGCCATATTGGGACAAGGTGAATCCTCTAAATGCTCACATTAATAAGTGCTCATTCCTGAAGGGGGTACTTTTCTTTACAAACATTATGATTTGCAAATTGATTTGTGGTTGTTATATCTCAGTCCACCCACAAGCATGGAAAACTAAGGAAATACTGTGATAGTGATTTTATATATGACTATCAGATAGAAATGATGACTGTGTTTTCCAAGGCTTATATTGCTCATACCGGAGACGCCTATAATCTTCAGTTTTGTCCATTCCCAGACTGGTGACCTTAACCTTCAACTAGGAAATATGCATTTGGTATCAAGAAGGAAAATTTTATTATCAGAAATGATTCTAAAATGTATATCCTGGTTGTCAGACTTTATGTTGATACAAAACAAATTATGTTGCAGGATGTAATCAACATTCATTTGAATTCAGTGAATTATTACACATAGTTAACACAGCAAATTTCTTGCAATTCATAACTGCCCCCCC